CACACCAGTCATGAGACAGGAGGCGCCACCATGTGGTGATACAATGCATTACAACAGCAACTGTTACAATACACAACATACTGTAACAAGGTAACACTGTCTTAGCTGTTCAGAGAGCTAAGAGTCCAAAGGTCCAGGCTGCCTATGACAGCGTGTTCTGTCGTCCTCTCACAAGTCAGAGGTAAACAGCGCATCTGGAACTTTGTTATGTGCGCCAAGTTTGTGCACTAGTGTGAAATCAAAGGCCTGCAGGTGAAGTGACCAGCGGACGAGTCGGAGTGTTGGGTTTTGATGAGACATGAGCCACCTGAGACTGTTGTGGTCAGTGAACATAGTAACATGAATGCCTTCAACATATGGGTGAAAGTGTTCAAGGGCCCATATCACAGAAAGGCACTCCTTCTCTGAAGTACAGTAGGGGAGTTCAGCTTTGTGAAGGGAGTTATACATCACTGGAGGTCAGGTCACTGAGGCAGTTAAATAATTCCTTGGTGGCATGGCCCCTGGGGTGGATGAGGTTCGCTCTGAGTTCCTCAAGGCTCTGGATGTTGTAGGTTTGTCTTGATTGGCACAGGTCTACAATGTCAGGTGGCAGTACCTGAGAACTGGTGGACTCGGGTGATGGCTCCCATCTTTAATAAGGGGAACCATTAGGTGTGCTCCAACTATAAGGAGATCACACTCCTCAGCCTCCCCATCAAAGTCTATGTCAGGGTGCTGGAAAGGTGAATCGCAGTCCATTAGATCCCATTGAGATCTGATATGTTTTGAGAATGTTCCTTTAATTTTTTGCAACAGTCCATTAATACAAAATCACCCATTTTTATTGTCATTCAAAAATTCTACTGCACCTATTTCCCCTCCTGCTAAGATCATTCTTGATGGTACATGTCTCCTGTTGTGCCATATATGATGACCCTGCTGACTTCCTGTTTACAGCATTACTGCATTTCTCTCATTTAGACAAATTACAGAATCATTATTTTTAATCATTTTATTGCATCTGTTAATCCTAAATACTGCATTTTTTAAAATCACCGGTACTGTAATTTCATGTGTACATATTTTAGAATGCTGTACTTTATCAACTTTCTTGGGGCTAGATATTAAGTCCCTCATTTAGACAGTGCTAGGTGGACGAGGCCTCTGGGTTTTCAAGCATACTTCATTATCTATCAAAAACAGTGGAGGTTATGTTATGGTAAAGCATGACTGTTTGACAGTGGAATCAGGTCATTAGTATTTATTGAAGCTATGACTGCTGACATAAGTAGCAGGATGAATTGTGAAGTATAAGCAAAGCAATCCAATAGTTTCTCAAGGCAAAGGAATGTAGTATACCTCAATTGCCAAGTCAGTTACTCAATCTCAACACAATAGAACTAAAAAGCTGCCTGAATGTTCTTTAGTTCTTAAACACAAAACTACAGGCAGGAAAGCATTTCAAGCAAACAAGCAAGAACTGAAGATGATCACAGACAGCGTTTAACACAATAGTGCCCTGCAGACTGAGAGTGATCCATACAGCAGAACGCTGCTGCAGGATTGCTCTCCCCCCGCTTCAGGACACCTACACCAGGAGATGCCGGACTAGAGCAGCGCAGATACTGAAGGACCCGTCCCATCCTGGCAACAAACTGTTCCAACTTCTGCAATCTGGTAGAAGGTTCCGCATCTTCCAGGCAAGGACAGAGAGACTCAAGAGGAGCTTCTATCCCCAAGCCATCCGGGCCCTAAACACACACACCCGCCCTCTCACATCATCTATAATTGACTGAGACAGGACTCTCTTCCAGACACTAAACCAAGGCACAATGTACATTCAAATTCCTTTAATTTTAAATATGTTTATATTGTCTATCCTGTAAAATAGTCAGATGTCTATTCATATTAATGTACAGAATTCACCTGCTTGCTGCTACTACTGCACATTCACCCAATGTATATACTATATATATAATGTTCTTCCTCTACCCCCCCCAATTTTTGCACATGTCGAGGAGCGTGTCAGGCTACATTTCACTGTGTGTTATACTTGTATAACTATGCATGTGTCAAATAAAGAACCTTGAACCTTGAACCTTGAACCACAGAAAAGGGTTAGCAGAGATTTCCAAGAAAAAGAAAACATGGTATGGACATCACCAAATGTTGATGTCCATGGGTTAATGTAAAAATCATTGTAAAAACCCACTGCGTTAAAGTATGGAGAATCAAGGCTGAAAGCGTGATTGATTGTTTGATTTAAAAGGCACTGTGGTTGTGTGCAGAAACTAAACTACGAGAAATGTTACTCTACAAGTGGTCACTATCATATCATTGTTCTTTTGCCATTTTCTGTTAATAGCATTCTTTCAGCGTCAGCATCTATTGTCAGAGCAAAGAAGTAAAAGCAAACGCAAAAATATGTCAGTTAGTGCACTACTGTCACTATAAACATAGGTTATCGAGATTCAAGATATTCAAGACAAAATATGACTTTGCTTAATCAACAGAAGGGAAGCTCATGAATGCCTTTGTGTGGGTTAGCAGGTCTTTTGTTTATTATTAAACTAGTGAGACTGTGAAAGCTTCCATCATGTCAACTGTTGTGACACACCCATTTGAAGTGCTGATAAATGTATTTGTCTTGAAAGTGGACAGTGGTATTACTATGTGTGGGGCAAGAGCTGTGTGGCCATTAGCACAAAGTCTCTGCACGATGTAGCTCACTGTCTTTTAGTATTTGGGAAGTATTTTATGTCTCTTTGTCGTTCTGTTTTTTCCCCTCTGCTTAAGAACCTTTTATACCTCTATTCATAACAGGTTTTAACTCTTACACAGTATTCTTTGTTTTGTTTTGGGGAGGGGGGGGGGTTTTTAGGTTTTATGGTCCAAAGTAAAGAACATGTTGTCTAAAACTTGCATTTAAAGTTAACATTCTGCATGTTCTGCTGTTAGTGTGTGGTTTAATACAACCTCAGAAAGTTAACAGTAAGTGTAAAGAAACTGTTAGGACTAAATCTTACATTCGGGTTCAGGCAGTGTCTACGTGTTAACTGATATCTTCTAATAACTTTAGGTAATATCAGTTATTGTTTTATGTGAATTAGCTTAAACTAGAAGTTAATTTAAAATCTTCTCTGACTGACAACAACATAAAAATGAACTTGTTCATGAGGGGAAATTGCCCCAAAAAAAGAAAGAAAGAAAAGAGAAGAGAAACATAAAACCATGTGTTTCTTTCCTTTCAAAGAAGAATATAATTCTAGTTCTAACAGGAACAGAAGACATCACCAAATGCTGATGTCGATGTAAAAATCATTGAAAAAATGCACTGAATGAAAGCTGATGTCAAATCATAGCTAAAAGGCTGCACTTCAATGCTGATTGTTTGGTTTAAAAGACACTGTGGCAGTGTGCAGAAATATGACTATAACAAATATGCCTGTCGAGCTGAAAAATGTTACTCTGTAAATTGTCACAATTCACACGTTGCTCTTTTTGTGATTTTCTATTGATAAAGTTCTAGAGCATTCTTTGAGTATTAGGCCCTTCTGTCAGACCAGAGAAGTAAAAACAGGTCAGCCAGTACACTATAGGCAACTGTTGCAAATAAAGAGAGATTATCTTGGCTATCTCGTTTTAGTTTGTACTCAATGATTCAGACCACAGTTAATACATGAAACAAAGATTCAAGACAAAATATGACATTGTGCAAGACTGTGAGGCTGAAATTGCACAGTGCAGATAAAATTCGTACTGAAAACCTGTCTGAAGGGTTCTTGTGCAATTATTTGTAAATGACTAAAAGTTGAGATTCCAAGTACATCGGGTTACAGTTTATTCACTTAGAGATTCATCATAGTTTCGTTGTGCATGTACAATGAAAATCAAGGGCTATTTTATTCTATTCTGTATCTGATCAACACAAAGCTTAGACTTCATTACCATCACAAAACAGCCGCACCATCACAGATGTAGCCACGCCAAAAAGAAAAACAGTGAAAGTACACACATCAGGGACAAGAAGAGAAAAAAAGAACTCTACTCGAACTGTGCGCCTAACTGGGAAACCAGCTTGAGGTCAGTAAAAAAAATACACCTCAGCACAAAAAAGCACATGAATATTCACATTTACACCATGTAAAGCACGTGACATGCATCGGAGGCATTTGGGGTGGGTGAGTGCGTATCAGTTTCAGTGTACATGCATGTGTATGTGTGTTCTATGTTCAGCATGAGAGAGTGTCCTTTCACCCAGTTAAGCGAAAGTTAACAGTACCCATCGTACCCTTGAAGGATTTTTTTTAGTGATAGATGACAGCGGAGTGTGATTAAAACAAAATGCAAAGGTCAGTTTCATATTCTGTGTGTCACAGACTTCTACGGCCACAGTAAGTGGGTGGGGCTGTGGAATAAAGCTTCATAGTAGTAGTATTTACTCGCCCCACTTTCTGTGTTCAGAAATTTCATTTCATTTCATTTATTTATTCATTTATTTCACACTTGGTACAACAATTCAAACAAACCAACCACACTTTCTATAAAAAAGCACTACACCCATGTGTGAAAAGGAGCAGGAAGAAGAAAATATTCTTATTAAACCCTGCCCCCTATCTACAATCCAATTTATATTACAAGTTGGCACCAAAAATCAAGGAACAAACTAACATTAACATTTATCGCCGGTCCTAACCCAAACCAAACAACAAATTTACAATCAGAATATACCACTCCACGTAGTAACAAGGTAACAATGAAATGAGAGTTAGATTACTACATTCAACTCCATACTCAAACAACTTATACGCTGGAATATTCCTTTAACTGAAATTAGTATTCATAGATAAGTGACAGATTAGCAACCAGTACAATATGTGTCATTTTGTTATACATTTACTCATACTCTTGATGTCACACTAAGATGCACAGATGATAAAACAAAAGCAGTTTGTGTGGGTGTTCTTTGGAATTCATCAGCTTAAGGGAGGCACAAATATAAGAGGAATGATTCAGAGCACACACACACACCCAAAGCACACTCAGATGCAGCCTAGAATTGAAGCAGAAAACACACATCTGACTATAGACTATAATCTACTTGAGTAAACAAAGTCTCACACTGAAGAAGTGCTAAAGACTGAATCCTACAAAACTACCTAAGAACGGTTCACACAGGTAAGATGGACAGTGAAACCTTTCTATAGTGTATCATAGAATTATTTTGGCATCTTAAACATATGTTGTACCATCTGTTTTTTCCTAGTATCCCATTTGTTTTTTCTATATTATTTTCAATATTAATGAATGGAAGTAAATGACCAATGCATTTGTATCAATCGTTTTTACATCTAAGTAAAATGTGAGGTCCAGTATAAAATTATCATATGATGTAGTGCTGATGTTAATAGCGTTAATCTGTTTAATAAAATATCAAACATGATCATTTCCACTTACTTTCAATGTGTAATAGTTGCACTGCTTTACATTAACTGCAAAGGCAGTCTCTGTGCTTGATCACATCCTTTTTGTCCCAAAAGGTTGATTCTGTTCAAATTGTCATGACCATTGATGAGAATAAACATTCATGGGGAGTTTCCATCAGGATTTCTTTTTCTTTCAGCATTACCATCCGGCCTACCTGCTCGACTATGACTACCAGGCAGTCAGTGATGCTTCTGGTGGTGCTGGTCCTCTCCCTCCCAGGTCTTATTCATAGCTTTAAACCACTCTTCAACTCGAATTCATTCACCCACCGTGAAATCACACGAACAGCAGTCCTTCGAAAGACAGCCGAGGTCTGCCGAGATATCGCTGCTTCTAAAGGACTGGACTTCAATCTGATTGTGAGTTAGACTTACAAAGAAACACAGCAAGAACAGTGATACATCTGTGCTTCGCTTAGTGTTTAACACTAACGAAAGAATATATGTTATTCTCATTCTAATGCTGTTGAGTGGAGAAATATATCAGTCAGCCACAACATGAATTACATTTTTCTTCGTACAGTTCAGTGTTGTGCTATAAAACCTCGTGTCCTACTATTCATGTTGGTGTCACTTTGATACATCCATCTCCATACATAATGACAAAGATTCTGTTGGATTGTGCTCAAGCAAGCCCAGTCAACAGAGGCCACACTGCTGCCAGTGGCCTCTTATCAAAATTAGTGGTGTCACCAGTGGGACCTGCACTTTATTACTATGTACTATATTACACACAAACTACTTTGCTGGTCATAATTGCTGATGATGAGATAAGACTACTCTTACCTTTAGCGCAATAGTTAGTACTAATTTTGGTTAACATGCGAATAACATATTTAAGGAGTTGTAATATACAAATTTATTGTCTCCAGATTGATAACAACTTGTCAGCTGGCGAGGTGCAAAGGGCCTGTTCGTCTATGGATACCTTCACATCTTTCGTTTCCACCATCAAGTTTGAAACTGCCATTGCTTCTATGTACCTCAGCAATGCAGCGGTGGATGCGGTTTTTCTGCTGAGTGCAGCACGCCATTTTGACGATGAGACCTTCCAGGAAGGACGGGATATCATCACTGAAGGTACCTCAAAGCTTGTCAATAATAGTTTAATAATGAAAATAATAATGTTATACTATGTATAACTAACTCATGTGAATACAGATCTATAGAATTCAACAGCCTAATGAAGAAAAGTGTTTAGAATTAGGGTTTGGTAAATAACAGAAAATCAAAAAACAAAAACTGAAATCTAGAAAGAATTTTTGTAACATTTCTCATTTCAACAAGGTTTGTAGCAATTCCCACAAAAGTCTTACATACTTGAAAGTTCTATATCTAGGGAAGGAAAGTGATGTTACAGATTACTTCAGTACTCAACAAACAAGACTTGTTTGTCAGTTGGAACTGCCAACTTCAATCAGAAATCTTGCAGAATAACATCTTCAACATTCACACACACACACACACACACACACACACACACACACACACACACACACACACACTGTAACACTGCTTTGAGTGGATAAAGACTGGTGATGTAATGCTGTAATTCAGGTTTTGCAGTGCAGGCTACACTATTGCAGCTTGTGTCTAATCTGTTGTATTTTAATAATAAGGTGCATCTGTGGTGAAGGCGCATGCTAAGAAAGAAAACTATATCCGAGGGAGGTGGTCTCTAGGGCAAATCTGTCACACTCTACAGGTACCGATACTTAATTTACTGCTAATTTGTTAAGACTGCTAGATGACAGCATTGTGTAATTAAAACAAAATGCAAAGGTGATATTCTAAATTTGTTTTCATTTTCTGTATATGAAGGACTTCTACAGCCACAGTAACTGGGTGGAGCTGGGAAATAAAGCTCCATACAGTGCTCTGATCAGACCTGACCAACCTCTTAAGAACTTGGCAGGTAGGAGTTGAGAATTTCCAGTTTAAATATGATCTAGATTAAATTTGTAGTAGTATTTGTAATGTTTATTTTCAAAATATAAATCAATATTTTTTTCTTTGTTATTTGATATTTCTGCAGGACAAAATACTCCAACTTGCAGAAGTTGCGTAGGAGAGAACTGTACCAACAACATTCTGCCTGATGTGCTGAACCAGGGACTTCTGACATCAGGCTACTTTAGCATCATCTCCTCATCAAAACCTACAGGTAACTTGGAGCAATCATCTCTTTTGATGTGTTATGATAAAGTCTTTGTATGTTTTCAATATCTCTTGACAAAAGGATAAAATGTTATCCCTGTTCAAAGGTAAATGCAGTCACGGTGGATCTGCTGATAGCACAAGCAGGAGGGATCCAGTGGGCGGGATCAATAAGGATACACTTAATTCCAGTCATGGCTTCCGTCACAATGAAGCAGCTAATCTGGCTATTCGTGCCACCATGGAGCTTCTGGAGGACATCAGATTAGCAGCTGGAGACACAAACTTCACGAGGTAAAGCTAGCTCTCAAGTCTCACACAAGAGGAAACAAATGTGGGGAAAATGGAGCTGCAGCACATGATAAAAAATAAACATTTAAACATTCCTGCGCCTCTTGCTTTTTATTGAATTGATCATCATTTTTAGATTAGATTTAGATGTGCGGGATTAAAAAAAAAGGTTTGTCTGAGGTATTTCTGTGCATGGAGCTATATTTTTCTGCATCTCAAATACAGACGTTGTAGACTGCCACCATTTGTGTTTCAGTTTCTAGTGGCCTTTTTATTAGCTTCAATCTTAGCTGACAGAGAAGTGTCAGAGCTGTGGTCTTCTGTTGCTGTAGATAGCCTACTTCAAGGTTAAAGGTGTTGTGCATTCAGAGATGGTCTTCTACATAGTGAGTGGTTATTTCTTTCTTATTCACCTAAAGCACTCTGGCCACTGGTGTCTTGTAACGTCTGACATCAACAAGACATTTTCACCCAGAGAACTGCAGCTCACTGGATATTACCATCTCCGTAAACACTGGAGATGGTTATGTGGCAAAATCAAAGTCGAACAGCAGTTTTCTGCAGCACTCAGACCAACTTGTCAGGCAGCAACAACTAAGCCACGTTCTAAGTCATTTAAATCTTCCCCTCCTTTTCTGATGCTCAGTTAAAACTTCAGATCATCTTGGACATGTTCACATGCCTAAATACATGGGGTTCATGCAATGTGACCTGATAGTTAGATAGTTGTGTTAACGAGGAGTTAAACAGGTGTTCCTAATAAGTGTATTTTTCCCTGCTAATGAATTAAGCATCAATGAAACCATAGTTTCATTAATGCTTGTGAAAAAAGAAAATGCATAGGCTTTGACAATCATCATACTCTTAAAGACTACTGCTTCATCATGCGTAGCTGCTGTTAGCACCACTCCAGTCTGTATTCTCATCTCTGATTTTTGCGGATGATGTGGTTCTGTTGGCTTCATCGGGTGGGGACCTCCAGCTCGCACTGGAACGGTTCGCAGCCGAGTGTGAAGCAGTGGGAATGAGGATCAGACCCTCCAAATCTGAGGTCATCGTTCTCAGCCGGAAAAGTGTGGAGTGCCCACTCCGGTTCGGGGATGAGTTCCTTCCCCAAGTGGAGGAGTTCAAGTATCTCGGGTCTTGTTCGCGAGTGATGGGAGAAGGGAGCCGGAGATCGACAGACGGATTGGGGCTGCAGCTGCAGTAATGCGGACGCTGCACCGGTCCGTCGTGGTGAAGAGGGAGCTGAGTGTAAAAGCGAAGCTCTCAATTTACCGGTCGATCTACGTCCCTACCCTCACCTATGGCCACGAGCTGTGGGTAGTGACCGAAAGAACGAGATCGCGGATACAAGCGGCAGAAATGAGCTTCCTCCGAAGGGTGGCTGGCCTCTCCCTTAGAGATAGGGTGAGAAGTTCGGCCATCCGGGAGGGGCTCAGAGTAGAGCCGCTGCTGCTCCACATCGAAAGGAGCCAGCTGAGGTGGTTCGGGCATCTGACAAGGATGCCCCCTGGGCGCCTCCTGGGTGAGGTGTTCCAGGCATGTCCCACCGGGAGGAGGCCCCGGGGCAGACCCAGGACACGCTGGAGAGATTATATCTCTCGGCTGGCCTGGGAACGCCTTGGTGTTCCCCCGGATAAGCTGGAGGAGGTGGCTGGGGAGAGGGAGGTCTGGGCCTCTTTGCTTAGGCTGCTGCCCCCGCGACCCGGCCTCGGATAAAGCGGATGAAGATGGATGGATGGATGATGGATGAAACCATAGTTTCAAAGAAATCAGATTAATAATATGAAAATATGTAATTTGTTGTTTTTTTTTTTCTCATGTTTGTTTCTACAGACTGATGGGCCTCTCCCAGTCTCCTGTGTTGTGTTTTGTCATAGACACAACAGGAAGTATGAGTGATGACATTGATGAAGCAAAGAGGGTTTCTTTTGAGATCATTGACAGAAAAAGGGGAACAGGAGAGGAACCCTCTGGTTATATATTGGTACCTTTCAATGACCCAGGTAGATCATTTACAGGGTGAATTTGTGCTTTGTTATGTAGAAAAGATGTTGTTTGAAAATAGAATATTGTAATAATGATTATTACATTATTATAGACTTAATTTGGGAGTTAATTTTCTGTTTTCCATATGAATGAGAATATAATAGCAGCTGTGTTTGTAGCAAATCTTTAAAAGAGCAAATGTGTCACTTTGAACATTTTTTTTTTAATTTTATTCTTCTATGTGCAGATTTTGGACCGATAGTTATGACATCTAATGCAGACATCTTCAAAGGAAAGATCAACAGTTTGACTGCGGATGGAGGAGGAGATGCCCCAGAAATGGCCTTGTCTGGACTGCAGGTGCTAACAACATAACAAACTGTTTTCTACTTTAGACAAAAGTTTAAAAACATCATATTTGATTTGGGAGAAAAAAATGGTATAGAAAAAGTATAGACACAGTGTTCTCAGAATGACCTTTTATTATTAAACACGTGTTGTTGAGGTGGCCAGAAATGCAACTTTTCACTCAGACTGTATTTTTTATTATTATTATTAATTATTAATTGTTGATACTTTGTCCTGTCTTTCATACAAATAATATTGAAGCTTGCACTGACAGCAGCTCCACCCTTCTCTGAGATTTTTCTCTTCACTGATGCTCCAGCTAAAGACGCCCACCTTAAAAACACCATTATTGCTCTTATGGAGAGCACCAAATCTCAGGTAAGAGTGAACTTTGTATCATCCTTGCTCTTAAAAATGTCATTTTTGGCATGTAACATCTGATAATTTGTATAACATTTGTCTTGAAATGAAGAACATTATCTGAAGTTCGGAGGGACCAAACTTTTTAAACAGGTTCCCCACACACCTGTATGTGTGTTTTTTTCTGTGCTCCAACCTCCTTTCCTTTGCATGTTTTTCATCGTCTGTCAAGGCTGCCAGGCCTGAAAGCTGCTGCCTCTGGCCTAGCTCATTGATTACCATTCATCTTTCATCTTCATTATCAATAAATGTTTTCCACTTAGGCTTGTGGTCCTTGATAGTGAAAAGAAATTTTAAAAATTTTTTCCTCATGCTTGCAGGTTACTTTCATGCTCACAGGCTTTGCAGCAGTTCGACGTCGCCGCAGAACCTCTCAGGGTGTGGCTCCACGTGTAATGGGTCGATCTGCTGTCCAGTTATACCAAGACCTAGCTCAAGCTTCTGGAGGTCAGGCGATTCAGGTCACTAAGTCAGAACTCTCTCTGGCTACCAGTGTTATAGTAGACTCATCAGCCAGCGCTGTGGTAAGGCATCAATCAAGAGAATCATATCTGACTGAAGATCACACTGTGTGAGGAAATGTGATGTTTCTCTCCTTTTTCTCTTAGGTGACAGTTTTTCAGGCATCAAGGAATCCTGGAAGGCCTGACAGTTTTAATTTTACTGTTGATAGCTCATTACAGAACATAACAGCTTACATCACAGGAGACTCAGCTCTCACCTTCAGCCTCACCAGCTCCACAGGTTTTGTCATCATGAATGTCTGTTTACCCTGTAGCAAATATGATAGAAATTTAAACTCATGTATGCAAATTGAATGCATATAGTATATTATTATACTATATTGAATATTTATAGTATATATATACATATTATTTGTTTATTTTTAATTTAATGAGAAGGTTCACGAAACACATTTTCTGCCGAGTATTTCATGGTTCAGGCTTTTAATTCTAAGGCTCTATTTGATGCATTTGTTTTATTAAACTTCTACTTCTTACACTGTCATGTTGAAAACACCTTTATAATAGTTTGTCCCTCTCCTCCAGGTGTATCTCAGACTTCCAGTCAGTCCAGTGGGCCTTTGGCATTTGTCACCACAGCAGGAAACTTGCGTCGTTTAAGCCTCAACACTGATAATGAAACGGGCCTATGGCAACTCAGTGTTAGCTCAAATAACCCTTACCTAGTTAAGGTTACAGGTCAGTATTATGGAAGCTTATTTTTAGGCTCTGAGTTGCATGAAATGTTTTAGAAAAAATGTATTTACAAGGTCTGTTTCTACTTCTGAACATACGTATTCCATCCCTTCTGATCTATTTTGTGTATCAGGTCAAAGTTCAGTGGACTTCATTTATAACCTTGTCGAAGAGCACGAGGGAGCCCATGGGGACTTCAGTGTAAAAGAAGGACGTCCTCTCTCAGGTCAGGCTACTTTTATGGTGACTGTTTGTTCATTTTTATAGTTGTAAAGTTCTGTTGTGGTAGACAATTTTCTACACTGTCCAAAGAGTCATCTTTTAATCAACAGCAACAATCGTTTGTCTTGAAAAAGTTACTCTGTGCCCCAAAGGTTTATGCTACATCATGTTACAGTCAGTACAGTTCAAACTTAACTATTCTGTCCTTTAGCTTACCTTTTTTATTTGTGCAGGTTGTGTTTCGCTTTAAGGGCATGTCATACTGATACTCATTTAGTTACCTTTTTTTCTTTACCTGTCTTTCAGGTGGTAATACCAGCTTCTTGGTCACTGTGACAGGAAGTGACACAGTAAAGGTCACAGAAGTCACACTGTTTGACAGCTCAGGTCCGACAGAGGTCAAAGGATCATTGCAGGTGTGAGGCCGTCTATCTGACAGATAAGGCTTAGTTGAAGTTGGAGTCATGCATTAATCCCAAGTGTCACCAGCAAATCTACAACGCAGTGACTGAAAAAGAAAAAAAACATAGTGTTCATTGGTCCAGTAGAAATCACGAGCTGTGAATAAACCTCAGTGAAATGAAGAAGTATTTGCTTGAAATGATAATATTACTACATACTACAGAGATATTGTTGGTATTTCAGAGCTTAATTAATATTGTGTGAATTTACAAGGCAGAAGTTTTAATTTTAATTAAATGAAGGCCGCTATTTTTTGCTACACTATTTAATAGCAGCCAATTTTCAAACCTTAAATACATGAATGTCCTGCAACATCCACAAATAGTCCTCGCACTCGCCCTACCCTGCCATAAGGATGTAGTCATATATTGTTTGGTTTGGTTACTGTTAATCTGTTGACAATGCATGTCACTGCTTTTTCTCTCATGCAGTCATTAGGAAGCAACGATTTCCTGGTGACATTTAGTGGAATCCCAGCAGGTGAGTTTGTGCTTATCCTGAAAGGAGAGGCCAGCAGCTCCACTTCCAGGTCCACTTCAAGCAGCTTCCAGAGACAAGCGTCCACACAGATCAAGACCTCCAGCATCTCTGTCACTGTGAGATCAGTTAATGTGTGCTTTCTGAAGAATCCTTAACCTCACCATAAGTAAACTGAAACATTTTTACATTGATTTTTTTAACTTTATATAATTTGCAATAGCCATCTATGTAAATAAGTCTACAATCATAAACAACAGCCATTCCTACTGTGCTTCTTTCATTGTGAAGTCATGTCATTATGCATCAACATATTATTATCTACAATCTTTAAAAAAAAAAATAATTCCCCTGCTCCTCTCTCCCTCTCTTCTTGTCCAGGCCCAAGCCAATAATACCAATATCGAGCCGGGCACCACTATCTCCATCCCCTTCACAGTCGCCGCAACTGCTGATGGAGTTATAACTGACTCTACAACTGAGACATTTACAGTGCGAGTCAGCAATGACCGCAGTTACACTTCCACTTCACCCAGCAGTGTTACTACTGTAGCAGGCAGTGGTGGTAAAGCCAATGGCACCGTGACCCTAACGGCTCCATCCAGTGCTGCATCAGGATCAGACGTGACCCTCACCATTGAGGGAGAAAACGCCGCTGCCACCGACATCAACTATGTAGTTCTCAGGTTTTCTGTGACTGCTAAGGTGAGTGATAATGGTTAGAATATTTTTCAACATTATTCTTAATTCTGTAATAATTAATGATCACGTACATAATATATCAAAAAGAAATCGTTGTTATTTTTATTTCAAATGAAAGATTCAATTTCATACGCAATTCGTTTTAAGATTGTTGTCTTGCAGTTACAGTAAGGCTTTATGTGTCATACTTCTCTTGTGAATCATTATACATTAATTGAAACTGAATATGTTAAATTGTTTGTCATGGGTTGCTAGACAAGGACACAAATGCCAGACTGGCTGAAAAAAAATAAAACACACCTTTATGTATAAGAAAGACACACGAGAAACAAATCACAAAAATGAAAAAGGGAGAACTGAGGATATTAATACTCAAATGATGATTAGGTGAATGTGGAACAGGCGGGTAAACAAACAAGTGCAAACAATCAAGGACGAGATAAAGAAAGTAAAACTAAATGCAAGACAAAAATAGTATTAAAATAAGACAGAAATGTGAGAGCAATCAGCACAAAGGCAAATACCCAACAAGAAAGACATGGGAGGCAGGATAAACTGAATCTAACTGACACGCAAAGATCTAATTAGTGTTCTTTTCTTTTTATCTTTAATAACTGGTGTGACACATACCCAACCACCCAGTACTTTTCATTCTTTTCATATTTCTGTCTCCAGGTGACAGATGTTAACCGCCCAGTTTGCCAGGTAGTCAACACATCAACCTGTGATTCCACTTCATTGCTTTGTGCTTCCTCCCAGTGGGAGTTCATTGCCAATTTCACTGATGGCATCAATGGAACTGGCATTGAGAGTGTAACCATCAGCCAAGGGAATGGTACTCTGAATATGAGCACAGTGGTTGAAGCAGGGGGTGAGAATATTACCCTGGTTACCTACACTGCCTCCTGCTGCTCACCGATTGTGGAGCTGACTGCTGTAGATAGTGTAGGAAATGTGGGGACATGTGTGGGACAGGCTAGAGTGCTTACCACACCTCCTCCTACGACAATGACCCCTGCAACTACAACAACCCCTGCAACTACAACGACCCCTGCAACTACAACGACCCCTGCAACTACATCTGCAGTTCAAACAACATCCACCGGAGGGTACACTTTGAACATATCAACCATTGTTTGGCTCACTGTTGTGTTCTCTGTACTTTGGAAGTAAAAGAGAACAAATGGAAATTGCACTGTGTTTGTAATTTGTGACATATGAGCCAAGTGACCCATCTTTGATTGCTGAGCTGAAATGGCTATGAAGCAACACACTGAGAAAAGTATCTTTAAATACTAACACCTTCTATTACCCAGGCATGTTTTTGTGTTTAAATTGTAAACACTTTAAATACATCAACTTTTTGGCCTGTTAATTTCTGTAATTTCCTAGAATAAATTATTATGTAGTAAACAAGATTATAAAGTGATTCCACTACATAAAATCAGCATTAATGTTCTCTCTTATATTTCTACAGTCAGTCTTTGCATAGGTGGAAATACAGTATCAAATTCTTTTCAACCTGTCCACTTAACGGAGCAATTTCCTAGTTTCGAAAGCTGCTTTTTCATTCCACAGTATCATGTAAACAGCCATTACTTCCTTTTCTTACCTGCTCCTGGTATCTCTTTCTTGTCTCTGAGAAGTCACCAATCCAGACATCGCTTTCTTTGTGTGTTACCACTGAAGATTTGTAACAACCTACTGAAATACAACATTATATATATAAGAACACATACATATAAAAAAATGTTGACTTTAATTAAAACGTAAATAAATGTGATTTTAATCAATTTACAGATGTGAACTCATTATTTCTCACAGCTTTATTGACTAGATGAACCTTTTTGCAGTTTTCCAGAAACAGTTATTTCCCTAAAATAGAAATCTTTCTTGTAGAGGTTAGTTTTCCCAGGAACTACCTGGCAACTGGACTAAAGCACAGGAAAAAGTTCCAGTGACAAACCAGGGAAAGCATCTGGATTCTCACTGTAGCACCAAGAAAAAACACCATTTAATATGTTAGAAGTGTGCTAAATTATTCTTGAGTGGTTTAACTTTGCCTTTATATTTGGATTCCAAAGCATATTAATAATGTAGTTATTATTACTCAGCTGGAGACTGGAAGGTCATTTTACAATTACAGTTTTTTTCTTTTGAAAGTACTCTGCAATGTTTTGGTTATTCAACAATGCACCAATAAAGTTGAACAGCATGATTACACTATTACACTAACAACAATCTTACACTAACATATTGCTGAGTAATTGTAATTCCATTACATAAATGGAGTCATGTGAAAAAGAAAGTGCTCAACTTTCAATTGTAATGTCAATCAAATGCATTTGATTAAATGCTCATCAGTGAGTGTGAGCACCTAAATGAAGAGCAGATGTTTTGGTAGTTTACACATCTGGAGCATACAGGTGTGTGTTAACTGCCGCTACGCATCATGCACACCACACCAACATGTCAGGACAAACACTTCAGACAAAATGTCAAGCACGGTGGTGTAGGGCTGATGATTTGGGCTTTAGAACTAAAAAAAGAATAGATACACATTTGTAATAGCTAATAAAGTTTATTTCAGAAAAAAGTAAAACCATAATTACAACAAAGAACCAAATTAACCTTGAACTGCAATAAAAATATAACAAATGCAATAATAGTATAAGTGGAAGAACTAAGAGCAACTTCCAGCAGCTAAACAAGAATGGCACTTCTGGGGCCTGTGTCACAAAGCACATATTAACGAAGAAAGTTTGATGAGCCAGAAACGTACACATGCTGCAGTACACTGAGCTGTGCTTTTACTCAGTGACAGATCCCAAATAACTCCATGACTCTGCTTTGTGACACAGGCCCCAAATATCAGGAGACAGCATGACAGCCTGGCCGAATGCAAACTGCATCAGGAAGAGGGGAGGAGGAGTGAAATGTTTGGTCCTCTTGACAAAAGAAATGGTGATAAACTCATTTTTAAAACCATTTTTCTCTGAACAATACATCATCACTAAATCAAAGTACAGCAGGTTTACTACATAAAGGAAAACAGAAGAGCCAATCAACCCTCAATAAACATGGCGAGTAAACATCAAAGCAGCCACACCACTAAAAAGAAACGCTTCATTTTGTTGTACGACTTGGAAAATAATATTGCCCCGCAGGGTCATCAAAAGCAACCGGAGTCAAAAGTGCACCACTACGATGAGGAACTTTGATACTTAACTGAGAAAAGTAAACATAACCAAATTCAGTATGCTTAATAGATGACAGCTTCATTGATTAGACACATATCAAGCCTAGATCTAGAATAAAACAGACATTTGAATCCATGTCTGTGAAAATGCCATCCTAATCACACAAACACAAAAGAGTAACCTTCTTTGTCTGCTTTAAATCTGTTAAGCACATTCATGTCACATCAGTAATGAAACTTTGAACAGGTTCAATATAAGAAATCTACTATATTAATCATTAACAACAGTATTTACAATACCTAATGTGTTACTCTTTTAAACAGAGCAGAGCTTAATGTTACACAGTTGGATATTTTGCATTTTATTAATAGCCCATGGTAGATCGAACATGTCCCTGGATCTCTTTGTTCCTGACAAGAGAGGTGGTCAATACCAGAGTTGTAAGTATGTATAAGCTTATACATAACAGATCAACAAAGGGCCAATAACCAGAATATAGCATTTGTATCCTCAGAAGGCAAAGACAAAAGCTACAGTTACAGATAAATGGCTACAGTTTTTTTTTCTGTTTTTTAACAAAAGCAAGTGAGAAACTGTACAAAATATTAACAATATTGTAGGAGAAGACCATCGAGGATCTTCTCTTTGACCTTCTCTCTCTGAAGTTAATATGCTGTAATATGGGACTTTGGTCCAACAAACCCAGCAAGACAGTAATGTAACACATTCCTTCATTGTCAAATAAGGTGTCAAAGACTGGAAAGTGCAAAATGCATTGCGCTGTAGGTTGGTAATCGCATAAGGAGGGGGGAAAAGAACAAATAATTTCTATACTAAAACATAACAAGTTAGCCCTGTTACTTAAAAATCTGGTGGTGTCATTTGATATGATGGACTTGATCTGATTATGTTGCAATTCAGCTACTTTATGTGACGTTTTATCCCATTTTTATTCTTAAATGCAGCATTTGAGCCAGGAAAAAGCCGGGAAAGAAGAATGCAACAGCATTTTGTGTGTCTGTTGCTTAAATATAAGAGTTTGGTTTACACACATGTCGGTAATTATATAATTCTGCATGCAGAGGCACTGAGTTCAAAGAGTTTATAGGCCTACAGAGTATATTCTCTGGACATGCTTTCATTTCACTTCAAATTTGGATGTTATATTTTACAAAATGACTACAGACTTCAAATGTAAGCATTCGTTATTCTTACGCGGTTCAATCACCAAATATATCAAATCATCCATTTACATTATATCCATCTACTTCATATAATATGTGGTGTGAAAAATCCATGCAGCATATATAAAAACCTGTCTTTGATTAATACCATTTTTTTTTCCTTCACAGGACAAATTGTCATCCTGGCGGTTTTGGATGATAATAGCTCACTACAAATGACACTTCTGTTTTAAAACTGTTTTCTGCCAACACTGGTGAGACAAAAAAGTAAGCACTTCTGCAAATACTTTGCACCTAATGAGGCACATACTCAAGTCAGCTTGACGCACGTGCCCTTCTCCTCCAATCAAACACTGAGTTGCTGCTACCTCCACTATGCACAAAACAAAAAGAAAAACCTCCTCAAAAATGGCCTTGTTCCTGCATGTGACGTAAAAGTGACTCGCTGATTTGATCAAAAAGGATCACATTTATGTCACATGTGATGTCCAGCATTAGTTTCAGGCAACACTTGACTTGGTTGTAATGAAATACTTTTGTTGTACTGACCTCTCAGTCAACTTCAGTAAGATATATGCAGTACCTTTCAACACTGCAACTGTCACGTTAAAACGACAAATGCAGTAATATCAACAGCTTATTCTGAACATGACTGCTAATATGCAAATGCTCCAAGGTTTCTGATGTGTAAACATTTCCAAGGGTTAGGCAGACTAGTATAGTACAATAGTTACTGTATTATGTCAGCGGAGGTACAAAATGCACGTGTTTGGCAATAACCAGGGAGAGAAACACACAGTACAATCCCTGCATTTGGAGTGTGTGCCAGATAGAGTTGGGGGAGACCTGAGGTGTATACTCTATGATTGTACTGCTCTTGCATCACTTATATTAATGGAGTTCGGAAAACAAAGGAATGGGCAGAGTCTGATCCAACGACTAGTTTGGACAGCTCAAGAAACGGGAGCATCTTTTATGAGGGTTCTTGGCTGTCTTTTCATTTCAATGTATGATTTTTTAACAAATTACATCTACAGTGCTACTCTAGTGCATTTCAATGATTACATTTCTAATTGAATACACGACAGCCATTTTACAAATTCATTCATTTGCACATGTCGTCAAAACTATTAAACACCAATGGCTCTGTGGTGTTAAGGCAACTATTCAAAGTTCGATAGTTCATAGCCAGCCTTTATGGTTGACGATAACAACTAAGGAAACAATGCCAGGAATTTATTCCGATGAGTTAAAGAACTGCTGGTCAAAAAAATAAAATAAAATCTGACAAGCTTTGCTTTAATTAAAGACCGTGGGAGGTTGCTAGATTAAATGTGGTTGGTTAGAGTCACAGGAAGAAGAAGCCTGCCACGTCACAGTGGCTTAGCCTACAGCTGGATGGTATCAGTGACACTGATGAGGCTTCTAGAGTGACTGTTGTAGAGTGATTGTTGTTTTTTTCAGGATTATGGCAATTCATTGGATATGGCTAAGGAACTTGACTGTCTTGGGCACTGGTGTTTGGAGGTTAGGCTAGTCTCATTTGGGCACATAAGACAACAGGTACTGGGAATAAGTAAAATAAGGGGTAGGGAAAGAGATTCCAAGTTCTTCTACTGGTCCTCCACTTCAGCAAGCTCAGAATTAGAGGGCGGTGTGGATGGTTGGAGGTGGTTTGAAGTGGGTAATGGGCTTACGGTTGAGCCCTGGGGGACGTCACTTGGAGCTGGGTCAGGAAGGGTCAGGGTTTCTGGGGCAGACTTTTTGCGGGGTCGGTCCTTGGGGACAGAGAGTGACTCAGGCGCATCGGTGCACATGGGTGTGGAGGGGGCGCTGGCAGGGCCAGTGAGGGCACAGGAGGACAGGGGTGTCTCACTGATAGAGATCGACGGGGGAAACATCCCAATCTTCTGGTTCGTGGCCTCCTGGATGGCGCGCTCAAACTCTCTCACCTCATCCATCGTCATGTCTGGATCAGAAATTTTATTTTAATACCAGTGACAGAAAGGTGGACACAACTTTTTAAGCCTTTGTATAAATGTAGAAACATTAAGCTGGAATGTGTTAACACAGCCACACCTAGAAAATGGTACATGGTCAGTAAAAGACTAAAAAACAAAACAAACCACATATTTACAAAAAAACGTGGATACCGTGAATTTTTTAGGAACCATTTTTTTTAGAATCATCATAACTGTTAGTTCAAATTAAATTTCGTTTTTTGGCTTTGTGTGTGAGTAGTTTGACTCAGAATAAGTAGATCCATGAGAACATGTAAAGTCAGCTGTGAACGCTTCAGAGGAAAGTCATCATCAGTTTAAATATAAGAAAAGAGGGGCAATGGAGTAAAAAAAACAATGAAAGACACATACGCTTGCTTTGTCATGGATCTCTATGTCATCCAGTGAAGATG